GCAGCGTACCAGTGGAAAGGTCGGTGTCTCCCAGGCGCAACAAAGCGCGCCAGGACGCTAAGAGGGTAAGCTAGGTCTGGGCGAGTACAGGTCATCAGGTACATGAGACAACCCACCAACTCAGGATATGGACCGCTGGATTATAAGGCTCGTCCGAAGGTGGAGCCGTGAGCCCATGATCCACATCAAGAGGGGTGAGCTATACCTTGGAGAACGGGAAGCGAAACCGCGTAAGGATGTGCTCGACCATATGCGACTGGGTCAGCGTAATGGTGCGAGCTGCCCTGTCCTTGGTGATCTGCAGGCCAAGGTAGCGCTGCAGCTCACCAAGGTCAGTGCAAGTGTATCTCCTCTGCAGTTCCTCCTTCACGGAGGCCAGTGCGCGTCGGTCGGGAGTGGCGATGACCAGGTCGTCAACGTAAACCAGAACAAAGAACGGGGTCGAGCCACGGCGGACGAACAGTGACGGGTCAGCAGAGGATGGAAAGAAGTCAAGCGCTGCAAGAGTCGTGCGAAGTGTGTCATGCCACTCACAGGGAGCCTGGCGCAGGCCGTAGACCGGTCGATGCAGCTGCCACTGGGTCCCAGGAGGGAAAGAGCCAGTGAAGCCAGGCGGACGACGCAGCCAGATCTGCTCGTGCAGGCTCCCCTGTAGGAACGCTCTGGAGAAGTCCAAGGAGTGCAACTCGTGGTCGTGCTGAGATGCTATATGCAGCAACACCCGAAGAGTGGTCATCTTCGGGGTGGGAGCGAAGGTCTGGAAGAAGTCTACCCGCTCGCGCTGACTGAAGCCTCTCGCATAGGGCGCCTTGAACACCGGTGGCGATCCTGGCGGCCGTTTCACCTTTTAGAGCCACATGCCACTGGCGACGTTCGTCCCAGGTGGTGGGACGGCGTTTACGTAGGTGCCTGTGGACCTATAAGATGCAATCTCTGCCTCCTCTGCTGCTATCGCGAACGAAGCACAGAGTCCCGAGACCGCCTCGGCGTGAGTGCGAGGGATCGGGATGTCAAGGGCGTCTGGATCCCCCTCAGGGGCAAGCAGCATGGCGGAGAGATGAGGAACAGCGGCCGCAAGGAAACTAAGCTCAAACTGCCTGTCCTCGAGGACCTCCAGGGGAAAGATTGGAGCAACCCCAGAGGATGGGGAACGAGCAGGGCCACTCACCAGGTGAGCGGCGTAGTCAAGGCGGTGGGAAGAGGCAAAGCCAGCGACAGTGGTAACAAGAGTCGAGACCGACAACGGGGGGGTAATCGGGTGAGTGACCAACGCGGACAAAACACGGGAGACGTCAGGACGGGAGGCACGGAGGTAGTCAGACAACGGGACGTGAAGAAGAGTGAGGGATGACTCAGGAGGAGGTGGAACACGAGAGCGGAGAACAAGGTGAAACGGCCCGTCCGCATGGTAACGGGACTGACGATGCCCTGGAGACACAGCACGACTGAGCGGAGAACGACGAGTCCACGGGGACGAGGAAAGGGACCTGACAGGGGGAAAAGGAGGGGACGGTAGAGTACCACGAACCAAGCGTGCAGGTGCAGGGTCGGGCAAGTCGCGCAGTCGCTGCTGCTCCGCCTCCCCTGGCGTTTGCTGCGACGGTACCTGCCCCTGTTGCTGCTCCTGTGGCTCCCCCTCTGCCCTCTCCTGATGCGGCGGCAGCTGCACCTCCTGCTGCGACCGGGACTCCTGCGCTACCCTCTCATGCCGCGGCCGTGACTCCTCCGCTACTCTCTCCTGCTGTGTCCGCAACTGCACCTGCTGCTGCAGGCAGGACGCCTGCTGTACCCTCTCCTGCTGCGGCCGTGACTCCTCCTCTACTCTCTCCTGCTGCCACTGCAACTGTACCTGCCGCTGCACTCGTGACTCCTCCTCTACTCTCTCCTGCTGCGGCTGTAACTGCACCTGCTGCTACAGTCTTGACCCCTCTTCTGCTCTCCCCTGCCGCGGATGTGACTCCTCCTCTACTCTCTCTTGCTGTGGCTGTGGCTCCTCCTATACCCTCTCCTGACGCTGCGACTGAGACTGCTCCTGCTGCTGCTGCTGTGCCCTCTCAAATCGCTCACGCTCCTCCCTCTCCAAGCGGAGGAGACGCTGCTTACGGGCCAGGAAACGTACAGTGCACGGTGTAGGTGCCACAGTGCCAGTGCCTCCAGCTCCAGCACCCCCAGAACCAGCACCTCCACCGCCGACACTACCGGTGCCTCCAGTACCTCCCGCAGGAACACCCCCAGGCTCCGCAGCAACCGGCAGCAGAGAAGAACGAGGAGGGAACTGTGGGATGGACGGGAAGCCAGGGGGTGAGGCGGGGCGAGGCCACCGAGTCGAGGCTGCCGTGTCCTCCACGGGAGTGACCTCTACGCCCTCACCCCCTGCACCCCCTGAGCCGACACCACCAGCTCCAGCAGCCCCAGTACCCTCACCCTCCGCAACTGCACCTCCCGCACCCCCAGACAAGACAGGGACTGGACGCTGCGGGGGGGACGACTGCGAAGTGACGTGCGACACACCTGACGGGGCAGGACGCGAAGGTGGGGGGGCTACCGGGGCGACTGGGGGGGGCCCGTGAGGAACAGCGGGGGGGAAAAGACCTCAGTACCTTGGTGGGGGTGACTCCTGTAGTAACAGACAGACTCGTTGAACGTGACGTCCTGAGAAGCGAATAACTGGTAGGTGACCTGGTCGTAGAACACCCAGCCGGAGGCGTCCAAAGGAAAGCCAAGATAGACGCAGGCACGGGTACGCGCAGACAACTTGTTCGTGCTAGGGGCGCGAACGTGAGCTAGGGAACCCCAGACGCGGTAGTCAGCTGCTACACCCAGAGAACCTGTCCAAAGGGAGGCCGGCGTCACCCATGGCGGTGCGTCACTAGGCCACAGGTTCAGCTGGTGCGCGGCGTAGCGGACTGCGTGAGCCCACAGGAACTGGGGGGCACCGGCATGGTACATGGAGGTCCGGTCAACATCCATGACCAGGCCGATGCGTTGTTCAGCTACCCCGTCCTGCTGCGGCGAGTCTGGTAGCGTGTAAGACTGGATGATCCCCTGACCCTAACAGAACGTCACCTGGCAAGTGGAAGAAAAATCACCACCACGGTCCGAGTGCAGGCGGAGCCCACAAAGGCCCTGGGCGCCACTCCTCGCTAGTATCCACGGCTCGAGGACGGTAGACACGTCAGCCTTCCGTCGCAAGGGTAAAACCGTGGTGTAGCGAGAGTAGTCGTCCACCACAATCAGGAAGTAGCGCTCCTGACGCGGGCCAAGGACCGTGGAGGGGCCCCAGACGTCCAAGTGCAGGGTCTGGAGGGGAGCCGTGGTGGGGGGGAACGAGGAGGAGTGAGGGGCACTGTGCTGCCGACCCTCGATGCAAGGAGTGCACGGCGGCGCAGGCGAGAGCGATGAAGCGGGGCAAGTGACTCTGGGAGACCTGAGACCAGACGGTGACGTACCATCCTACTAAGACGTGGGAACGATGGTTGACCTAGACGGTGGTGCTAGATGACCGATGGGTGGGTGAGGGACCGACTGTCGCACGACACAGCAGCTACCTGACCTGACCCTGTGTGGTGGGACCCAATGTGTAGTGAGTACAGACCAGAGCCCGGCTCCTTGTGGAAAGTGGCCAGAAGCGCCCCAGTGGCACCGACTGTGCAGGAGGCAACGGGCTTGTCCAGTAGGAAAGTAGTGACTACACCTAGGTCGTGGAGGTGACTAACACCCACCAGGTTCCCGAAGAACGATGGGGTGTAGTAACATCTGAGAAACCCAGAAGGAGCCGCCAGACACGGGAGAGTGGTGGTGCTGTGGGCAACTACAGGTCCCACGGAGGGGTCAGCCAAGGCGACAGTGGCTGGGGTGCGCAGTGGCGTGAGGTCAGTACAGTAGCGAAAGAAATAGCTGGACTCTCCAGAGTCTAAGGTGAAGGAAAGCTGTGCAGGCTGTGAGGTGGCACCCAAGCCAGCGACAAAGGCTGGTGCTAGACTAGTGGTAGCCGCAGCTCCCACACAAAGACCCTCAGAGGCGCCTGGACTGGAAACTACGCACGCACCAAGACTAGAAACACCGGTCTCTACCCGTGCAGCGGGAAAAGGTCCTAGACCAGGTAGATGAGACTCAATTGGTGAAGCAGTGCGCTGGCGAAGACGCGAGAGGCAGTGCGGTGTAATAGCGTGAGGACCAAAACGCTCACGGTGGAGGTCGTCGAGGCGACGGTAGCAACGGGACGCAAAGTGGTTAGGACTCCAGCAGGTGGTGCCAGCATCCGGGCCAGTCAGGATCCGGTACCCGCATGGACCGACGTCGCGCCCACTACTGACTGAGCCGCTGCTGCAGCCGGTACTCCTAGGACCCTCAGGTCCCCACTAGTGGGAGTGCTGTATCTGCTGTCGCTGCGACTGACCCTGCTGCTGCTGCTGCTGCTGCTGCTGCTGCAGAACTCTAGCACACGCCATGGTAGGCGCTAGTGACGGCCGAGCGCGGTGGGGAGAGGCTAGGAGCGGTTGCTGGCTACAGCCTATGCTGCTGCTGGTTCTGCTGGGGGCAGCCTATGCTGCTGCTGGAGCTGCTGGGGGCAGCCAATGATGCTGCTGGTTCTGCTGGGGGCAGCATATGTTGCTGCTGGTTCTGCTGGGGGGGCAGCCTATGCTGCTGTTGGTTCTGCTGGGGGCAGCCTATGCTGTTGCTGGTTCTGCTGGGGGCAGCCTATGCTGCTGCTGGTGCTGCTGGGGGCAGACTAAGCTGCAGCTGGTTCTGGCATGTCTAGAGCGGTGGGGAGCGGTTCTGGGCGGTTCTGGGCGGTTATGGGCGGTTCTGGACGGTCGTGGGCGATTCTGGGCGGTTATGGGCAGGTATGGGCGGTTCTGGGCGGTTCTGGGCGGTTCTGGGCGGTTTTGGGCGGTTCTGGACGGTTCTGGGCGGTTTTGGGCGGTTCTGAGCGGTTCTGGGCGGTCCTGGGCGGTTCTGGACGGTCTTGGGCGGTTCTGGGCGGTTCTGGGCGTAGGTTAGGGCGATGGGTACAGGGTGGGGTGTCGGGCCCAGGGTGGGGCGGCGGGTACAAGGGACGAGGAGGCGACTTGAAGGGGGCGGGGGGTGACGGGGACGCGACGGGGAGGGGAAGGGGACGCGACGAGGAGGGGACGCGACGAGGATGGGAAGGGGAGGCGACAGGGAGGGGACGCGACGGGGAGGCGACGGGGAGGGGACGCGACGAGGAGGAAAACGGGAGGCGACATGACGGGAAGGGTAAGGGGAGGCGACGAGGAGGGGACGCGACGGGGAGGGGAAGGGGACGCGGCGGGGAGGGGACGCAACGGGGAGGCGAAGGGGACGCGACGGGGAGGGAAAGGGAAGGCGACGCGACGAGGATGGGAAGGGGAGGCAACGGGGAGGGGACGCGACGGGGACGCAACGGGGAGGCGACGGACAGGGGACGCGACGAGGAGGGAAACGGGAGGCGACGTGACGGGGAGGGGAAGGGGAGGCGAAGGGGAGGGGACGCGACGGGGAGGGCTGCGGGGTGGCGGGGCGCCCTTCTAAGGACGCGACGGGGGGGGCGCGGGGGCCTTCCTAGGTCGCGACGTGGGGGACCCGCGGGGGTCCTTCTAGCGACCGATTCGACGGGGGGGGGGGGGGGGGGGGGGGGGGGGGAGGGGAGAGCGTGGCGCTATGGGTAACGGGGTACTAACGGGAATCGACGGGTGAGCGTGGGGCGGTGGGCCCATGGGAATCGAACTGCTCTACACCATGTCAACGAGGTAACTGAATAATGAATTGAGTAGAAACAAGCAGTGCAATGGAGCATATAGCAAAACCTAAGTGGGTTATACCCTCTATAGCATAACATAGTGTAACACCTAGACTAAACTAACAAACTATAACAATTATAGTTTGACAGTGCCTTCCCTGTATCGAGGGGCAACCTCGCCCCGCTCCTCACTCCTCCTCGTTTCCTCCGACCACTGCTCCTCTGCAGACTCTCCACATGGACGTGTGGGGCCCCGCCCGCGTCAGTGGACAGGGCCGAGAGCTCTACTTTCTGCTGGTTGTTGATGACTACACGCGCTACACCACGGCCTTCCCCTTGCAGAGCAAGGCGAATGTCCGCAGTGTCTTGATCCCTTGAATCCGCGCTGTCCGTCGCCAGCTGAGTGCCCGGTTCCAGCAGGACCTCCAGGTCCTGCGACTGCACTTTGGCTGAGGTGATGAGTTTTCCTCCCGCCTCCTTGAGGACTTTATTCGTGAGGAGGGCATCACCCAGTCGTTCACCCTTCCGGCCTCTCTACAACAGAATGGGATTGCTGAGCGCCGCATTGGCTTGATCATGGAGGTTGCTCGCACCTCCATGATCCATACGGCTGCTCCCCATTTTTTGTGGCCGTTTGCGGTCCGATACGCCACGCATTAGTGTAACCTCTGGCCCCGTGTCTCCTAGCCAGAGACCTCGCCTACTCTGCGTTGGACGGGGGAGGTTGGCGATGCGTCAGCATTTCGAGTCTGGGGTTCGCTTGCCCTTGTCCGCGATACCACAGCGGGCAAGCTCTCTTCTCGCACCGTTCGCTGCGTCTTCCTTGGCTTTCCCACCGACGGGCCTGGCTGGCAGTTTTACCACCCAGCCACGCGTCGCGTCTTGTCCTCCCAAAACGTCACCTTTGACGAGTCGGTTTGCTACTACCGTCTCTTCCCCCACAGCACTTCCTAGGTCCCCCCTCCGGTAGACACCCCCCCCCCCCCCCCCCCCCTCCCCCCCACAGGGTCCTGCTCCCTCAAGTGTGTCTCAGGTTGACCCTTTGGAGGGTCTCCTTGGTCCCCTTGGTTGAGCCTTTGGAGGTCTCCTTTGACACCTATGGCCCAGCTGAGGGGGGTGACCCTGCTGCTGACGACACAGCGGCCACTCGCCGCTCACCGCGCTTGGAGACCCCTCCTGGTTTTCCGCCTCGATCGTCTTCACCGCCTCCGCAGCCTGTCGCTGTAAACTTCGGTGTTGCTGGGGGTGGTGACCCTGGAGGTGCGGACTCTTGGGTTTCTGGTTCTGGTGGTGCTGGTTCTGGAGGTGCTGACTCTGGCGGTGCTGGTCTTGGGTGTGCTGAGCGTCCTAGTGGTGGTGGGGTCGAGGGTTCTCCTGCTGGAGTTTCTCCTGGTGCGTTGCCACCTCTGCAGCAGCGCCCCTTGTACTGGGAGCAGCGGCGGTCGTCGCTGCCACTTCTTGTGTCCGAGTCTGACGGTGCTGGAGGTGCTGATGCTGGAGTTACTGGTGCTGGAGGTGCTGGTGCTGGAGTTACTGGTGCTGGAGGTGCTGGAGCTGGAGGTACTGGAGCTGGAGGTACTCGAGCTGGAGGTCCGGGTGCTGGAGGTGCTAGAGCTAGAGGTTCTGGTGCTGGAGTTATTGGTGCTGGAGGTGCTGGAGGTGCTGGTGCTGGAGGTGCTGGAGCTGGAGGTTCTGGAGCTGGAGTTACTGGTGCTGGAGGTGCTGGTGGTGGAGCTGCTGGAGCTGGAGGTACTGGTGCTGGAGGTACTGGAGCTGGAGGTGCTTGGGCTGGAGGTGCTGGTGCTGGAGGTGCTGGAGCTGGAGGTTCTGGAGCTGGAGGTTCTGGTGCTGGGGGTTCTCCGCAGCCGCTCCAGCAGCGACCGTTCTTCTGGCACCAGCCGCAGTCGTCGCTGCCACCACCTGGCTCGGCGCTTCGCTAGGTGCTCAGTCTTCCGTCTTCCTCTGGTATTGCTCCTCCTCTACTGTGTCCACCGATAGATCAGTCCCAGACACAGTTACAGCTTGACTCCCCACTGCCTACTCCTTCTCCTTACACTTAGTCGACAGACTCCCTGAATGAGCGTCGAGAGCTTGCGTCCCGTCCTGCCACACCTGTTCATTCTCGTCGTGCTCCCCGTGCTCGCCCTTCACCTGTCCCCGGCACTCACACTATGGCACTTCGTCCTTCCTCTGTTCCACAGCGTGTTGTCCTGCCGTCACCTCTGCGTCTTCTCTTCCTGATGTTGCTGACCCTAAGTCAGACCTTGTTCATGCTGCCAGTCCGACTGTCACTCGTTTTCTAGCCACGCTTGTGACTGACCCTATGTTTTCGTCTCCTGCTGCATCTGCCTTTTTCACTCAGCTTGTTGACTTTGCTGCTGCCTGCCGCCTTGACTACTTCGCAAGTCTTGTTTCTAAGTCTGACTGTCGTCTGTCCATCGGGGGTGAGCTTGCCCTTGGCTGTGACGTCCTTGAGGACAGGCAATTTGAGATTGAGTGCTTTGCGGCTGCTATACCTCATCTCCCTGGCATGCTACTTGCCCCTGAGGGAGACCTGGATGCTCTGGACATCCCGACCCCGCGCTCTCACGCAGAGGCAATCTCGGGTTAGTACTCCTCTCAGTGACAGACATCCATGGACGCAGATATGGCTTCCTGGAAGTCTACAGGCACCTACGTCGACACAGTTCCCCCTCCTGGGGCGAACATAGTCGATTGCATGTGAATTTCCAGGGTGAAGCGGCCGCCGGGTTCTCTGCCTATCTTCAAAGCGCGTTAGGTTGCACGAGGCTTCAGTCAGCGACAGGGAGTTGACTTCTTCCAGACCTTCTCCACCACCCTGAAGATGACTACTCTTCGGGTGTTACTGCACGTGGCAGCACAGTGTGTCTACGAGCTCCACTCGCTTGACTTCTCCACAGCCTACTTGCAGGGCAGCCTTCACGAGGAGATCTGGCTGCGCCGCCCACCTGGCTTCACTGGGTCGTTTCCTGAGGGTACCCAGTGGAGCTTCCGACGGCCAGTCTACGGTCTCCGCCAGGCACCCTGTGAGTGGCATGACACAGTGAGGACGACAGTTGCGGATCTTGGCTTTGCTCCTTCGACTGTTGACCCGTCGCTGTTTCTACGCACCGACCCTTCTCTGCCGCCGTTCTACATCCTCGTGTACATAGACGACTTGGTCTTTGCTACTACTGACACTGAGGCACTGGTCCTTGTGAAGGCGGAACTGCAGAAGAGACACACTTGCACCGACCTGGGTGAGCTGCGCAAGTATCTTGGCTTGCAGATCACCCGAGACAGAGCAGCGAGCACCATTACTCTGACTTTGTCACACATGGTGCAGCAGGTCCTTCACCCCTTCCACCTTCTGTTCCCCTCGCCACAGCCCACTCCTCTGCCTACCGGCCACTCGCTCTTAGCTCCATCTTCAGACGAGTCCATATAGCCGAGTGGTCAGTATCCAGAGCTTGTGGGTTGCCTCATGTACCTGATGACTTGTACTTGGCCTGACCTCGCGTACCCTCTCAGCATCCTGGCCCGCTTTGTTGCTCCCAGTAGACACCGGAAGGAGCACTGGACAGCTGCTAAGAGGGTGCTGGGCTACGTGGCCAGTACACCAGGCATGGGGCTTGTGCTTGGAGGACAGGGCCGAATTGTCCTCACAGGTCACTCAGACGCTTTTTGGGCCGACGACCAGGCGACTCAGCGGTCGTCACAGGGTAACACTTTCAGTCTCGGCTCTGGTTCTGTCTCCTGGAGGTCCACCCGCTCGTCCTCTGTTCTCAGCTCCAGTTGTGAGGCTGAGATCTACGCGGGGGCCATGGCTGCACAGGAGTTACGCTGGCTGACCTACTTGCTGATGGACTTGGGTGAGCGGCCTCGTTCTTCTCCGGTTCTGTACGTCGACAACAAGGCCATGATTGCCTTGTGTCGGGAGCAGAGGCTGGAGCACAAAACGAAGCACATTGCGGTTTGTTACTTTCTCGCACGAGAGTTACAGCAGCGTGGTCAGCTTTGTCTTGCTAACGTGGCCTCACAGCCCAACACTGCTGATATCTTCACCAATGCCCTCGGGTCTGGTGATCATCAGCACTTCTGCACTGCTCTTGGTCTTGTGCCCACTCTGCTTCACTTGCTTGTCTCTTGATCTAGCTTTGCCCTTGTTGTACACTGCTATATATCTGTATACCTGCATGCTTTGACTTGCTAGGTTGTGATTGGTGTACTGCCATTGCTATTATAATTCTGCATGTGAACTGGCCTTCTGGCCGCTTGCTTGTGCTCAGACTGCGTGGTGATCTTGAGATCCACCTTGAGCTTTGCTTTGCTTCTTCTCTTGACCGGTCTTGAGACCGTTTGTTGTGCTTGCTATCCCTCTCTTAGCCTATGGGGGTGTGTCAAAACATATATATATATATAGGTTGTTAGGTCTCTTAGGCTACAATGAAGTACTCAGTACAGGGTACAACCCAATTAGGGTTCCATAATTGTACCTCATTCCTTCTAATCACACTCATGCCTGTTTCATAGATCCTGACAAAAATCAGGATGTTTTACTAGACACACTGATTGTTGCATCATGCATGTACTGTCACTCATTCTGTCAGTGGGGCATGTCGTCATTTGGGGGTGCGGTGGTTGGTGGGAGGGAGGGGGGGGTGGGGGCCCAAGGTGGGGTGGGGAGGGATGGGGGGAGGGGGGAAAGGGGGGAGGGAGAGGGGAAGGGATGAGGGAAGGGATTCATTATATCAGGGTATTTTCTGCAACACTGTGACCAGCCAGGGGAAAAAAACTCGCGACCCTTATTTTATAAGGGTAAGAACAATACAACACTTTATGGGATAGGGTAGTACAGTAAACAAACATCCAAATTTAGGGTAATCATCAAAAAGTGGCTCATAGCAAGGGCAATCAGGGAATTTTGCCGCTCAATTTTGGGGCCTGTTGCCCCTGTCACCCATATCTTGGCTTTTGGGAGGCCATCCTTTTATGGCATGTTTTGCTAGTTGACAAAGTGCACGACTACAACGAATTGTAATTTCCCTTACGTCGCTCTTAGCTCCTATGCGCACAACACTGTGCACCGGGTCTCTACC